TTTTCTAACTTTCAATATTCAATCATATAAATACAATTATACAAATACACAATAATTTTTAATGATTAAATTGAATTACTATTATTTGATTTATTATAATATAATCACAATTCATACAACAAATACTAATAGCCAACTAGCCTAGGCCCTACCGTCCACTACCGACTAACTATTAAAGAAATAACCCAAATACCCAATATTACATACCTTTAGTCGAAGGACGGAGGCCCTGTGCGGCACTGCTGCTCTGCCGTTGTGGCGTTGTGCACACTGCATGTCACGTCCTGGACCTATCCGGACACGTCAACAACCCACCGTACAGTACGAATAGTCAATCGCGGTCCAACACATCCATACTATACAAGGCGTCTTGAATACCATTCACACATAGTACATCCATAAACAAACATAATGTAAAATACTCATTTAAAACAGCGGAAACATTTAATACACGTGTTCAAGCCACACTAGGCATAATTAGGCATATAAGCCCCCAAAATAATTATTCAGAAAATAATATCCATGAGCATTAATGTAATTGTTTTTAAAACAGAAACGGAGGAAGCACGAACCACGTTCACTCCCAGATCCTCCCTCGAAGCAACGAGTATTGGTAACAGCTCAACTCCTACCTGAAACTGTGAGGTGGCCTCCCCCGTGAAGGGGAGGTCAGTACTTGGAAGCATTTGATAAGTACAATGACAACTATACTAAGTATAATCAATGTTTCAATTCTTTAAGTCCCTAAAATAGAGTGGTATCATAATATAATTGATAATTCATAATTGCCACTTATTGTCTCTATAATAAGTAAATTCATTTATTTGTCGGCACACGGCCCTTCTTATATATTCCTTTTCATTCATCATTTGTACAACCCAACTCGTGGGTCTTATTATACGGGATTTGCTACCGCTGTCCGAGACCTCATGAGGCTCTCGATTCGGATTTCAACATCCCGCCCCTGGACTCATACCCATCATCCCGTGGGAAGGTAAGGCCCTTTGGGGTCCTATCTTATGTGTTACCGCTACCGGAGCCTAGTTAGGTCTCCGATTCGGATTCCACCCTAACCCGTGATCACGATGCAAGTCCATGCTATCCAACTCCGCTCTCTAGAGTCGGGAAGGGCCATGGTCCTTACTTATTTCCATAATTTAACCGGCTATCTCCAAGGACTACCGAACACACCCGTAGGCCAATCCTATATCTAGGATCAATTCATTATTCACTTATCTTGGGCATCCCTTATGGCCTACCCCTAGTATAACTTAGAGTTCATACTTATCCACCTTAAAGTATCTCTTAAGACTACTTAAGGTATAACAATTCACAATCCAACCTTAGGATCAATTCTAGAATAATTACTTATCCAATTCCCTGACTAGTATCTTAATACTAGTCGGATAAATTCTATCAATCCAAGTTCTCAACTCATAGTCATATAGACAATTCCAAACCGATTTTCCATTGAAAATAGCATTTATCTCCATATACAAAATATCACTTTTAATCACTCATATATTCTTATATGAAGTAAAAAGTATATTTCAACATAAGTTTCATAGTTAATTTCACTTTCAAGTCAACATACTCATGGCACATAATCATACACAATTTATTCTTAAATTTGTATATCATGCTCCCTTTTCCTTTTAGACAATAGTCTTCTCATTCTTAGGCATTATTAATCATTAATAATCCATAAAAACACATTTAATTACCTTAGGTAATCTCATGAAATTAACTCACTAATTATAAGCAATATAGTCAGTCATCCTCACCTTATGAAGTGCTGAAATAGTTGCCTTTCTTAAGCCCTTCCATCAATCCTCGTTCTAAATCGATAAGAAGCTAAAACTGGACTGCCTGGACAAAAGCTGGCCGGCTTTGGCAAAAGCCGGACGATGTTCTTCTGTCTGCAACACAAAAAACTTCTTCTTCTTGGCAGTTCCTCCCAATTATTCCCGCTATTTCTGGCAGGTTGGGTCAAAATAATACTTGGATTTCTCAACGTTTCCCTCAACTTTAGTTGGCATTTTATTGGGCTTCTATAATTATTATGATGACCCAACTAATTATTTACTAGCTCATTCTTCGTATTATAGGCCCGATAAATAATTTAAGAGTTTTCCGAACAATATTATACTATTGTGGACAATTATACTCTTCATCATATGATTATAATTATGAAGAGTTAGCGATAAATGATAGGGACTTGGAGTCCTGGAAAATAAGACTAATAATAAAATAATACTAGTATTCCGTATTAAATATTTTGTTAGTGTACAAGTGAGGGTTCGGCCCATGTAATTCCTGAGCTTGGGCCGGCTCTTAAGGATATGATTATTATAAAAGGGGGAAGGATGGAAGAATAAAGGTAGGCAGAAATTTAGTTGGAACTGGGCTGGGAGAGTGAGGCCTCTCGAAGAGTCTCAAATCTGTTTCTTCTCTTTCTAATGTATGTATTTGTTGGTTTAGTGCTTAGAGCATTGTAATAGGTTAAGAATTCTGATATTTGCTACTAAATATACCTACTCTTTCTACTATGAGGATCAGTACCCTATCAATAAACAAGCTGATCAAGATAGAGTGCCAATATAAAAAAAGTGATGACAATATAATCCTTTAGACGAAAAATGAGTTAGACGGAAAATGAGTTTAAAGGAAATTAAACTAAAGCATCAACATAGATGAGAGTAAAATAATTTGGATGGTCTTCAAGAGTTCAAAAATTGGCTCAGTTTTCAAGATCTACGGCACTACAAATATCTTTGCTTTAATCAATTCTAAACAGTAGCAGACAATGGGCCTGTTTGGTAATGCCTAAAATGGTTGAAGTGGCAGAATCTACTAAATGATGTGCCTCAAATGGTTCAATTGGCTAAATCTGATGCATTGACTACAAAGCTTATATGAATTATGTTTCACAAAACTATTAAAGAAAATAATGATCCCTTTTTTACATTTCCCTCTTAGGAAAGAATTGAGGGATTATAATGATTCTTTCCCTTCTAAATACATCTTAACCAGATGATGAGACAACCACATAGTTTTATTTTTTTTATTTTCTTAAATGTTGTGTACAGTCAAATGAGGAAGATAAAATAAGTTCAATGATAGTAACAAAAAATGAAGGTCAAAACAATGTGTGGCACCTGTGATGACTTATCCTCATACTAGTCCAACCTCGATCTCATGTCCAGAACCAGTACCTGCATCTTCAGATCTTGTTTCTACATAAGATCTTGATCTCCCGATAACACTACATAAAGGTTCACTCAGACAGATCTGTTGCTCGGTTGAGAGCCCGATTAGTTGCGAAGTGTTATGCTCAAACTTGTGGTAGATGTGAAATTGAACCAAATGTATCTCTTTAGGTCATATTAACTCCAACTCATTTTCAACCACTCTTAAAAATGTGTCACTATTTACATATATTATAGTGAACTTAATCAAATTGTACACTTCACAGAGTAGTTGGAAATATAAATCACTAACCTCTATTGATTTAAATTGATACCATCGTGTGTATATTCTAATCTGATCAATGTTTTTTGGTGGTTGCAGCTTCCAGAATCCAATAATGCAGATCCTAGTGAAACCTTTATTGGGACGATAATATTTTGAAGTTCAGAGTAGTGACACCAATGATAAAATCAATTCCAAGACAATGAGGTACAATTCATGCTCCATCTCATTTTCCTTGTTCAAAATATAAAGAGAATTTAAATATTGTACTTTTATACTAACAACTTATTTGTTTTCTCATCAAGAAAAATACTTTCAAATGATGTTGGTTATAGTAAAGATTGAAAGCTTAAAACTTAATTAGCAAATTTTATTAGAGCCAAAAATTGATTTATATTTTCCATTATATACTTGTGAAGTGTATGTGTGTATGTATGTGTATGTCAGTATGTCTATGTCTGTATATCTATGTATGTATGTATGTATCCGTGTGTGTTTAAGTTGTTTTTGAGATTTCTATTATGATTAGAGTGATAAAACATTGAATACATAAATAAATTGAAGCTCAAAATACTCTGTTTTATAAATCTGCCTAAAGTGTAATGTGTTGAACTGTTCTCGTTACTGTGGATGCTGTACAACTTTTTCACTCTTTATTAATGTCATTTCGAGCAGATGGCCAGCCGTCAAAACATATGGAGATGCCTTTTCAATCAAGAAACGGTGCACTTGTACACACCTTTTTGTTAATACCTGACTGATTATTACGACTGCACTGTTCAAAATGTAATAATTCATTTATGTTGTTCAAGTTTACCCTTCAAAGGGCTATTTATGTAATTTCTCAATCAAAGGACTCTTGCCTTAGAAATATGGGAGGGAACACTGTTGAAAAAACAGTGTATTCAGGGATTTTGCTTTTATATAATAGAGGAAGTCTGGATGTAGTCTAGATCAAGCCTGCCACTATGCAAGGAATTATTTTACAAACAAGTGTTTGTTCATAAATCTTGTTTAGACTTTACCAGACTAAGGATGGTTTTACTTGGACAGTAACTTACTGGTCTGGTTTGTTTAAGTCTGGTCTGATCTGTTTACGTCTAGTGTGGTCTGGTCTAGTCGGAACTGATCTGGTCTGGTAAGTATTTGGTCTGGTCTCTGTGTATTTTATAACTACGGAAATCAAGTCTGGTCGGATTTGTTTAAGTCTGCTCTGGTCTAGTCTATTTAAGTCTGGTCTGAGACCGAAGACAGTCCAAGTAAAAACGTCACCGAGTTTACATTCACTTGTTTTTTGTGTTTTTTTTTGTGTGTGAAGCTAGTGTTTAGGCTTCATCTAGTTGTCTAGGCGTCAAGCTGTTGTTATTTTGTGTTCATTGTTTTTATGGTCTTCTAATCTTACATCTAACCTTTCAACTGAAAAGGAGGCCATTTTACAGCATGGAACACAAAGTGGTTGAACTGAAACCCCAATCGCGCATACAAAGTGGTTGACTAGTCATATACTAACATTAGTAATAAAAATATAATAGTAATAACAATAATCATATTATTATAATAACAACAATTATTTTATGACAGAATACAATGTGTTCCATGAGAATGTTCAATTATGTTCTGACAAATGGAACACAAGCTAACTGCATTAACACTGATGTAGTGAGTAATCTATTTCACCAACTAAAACCTGAATGCTTCTTTTGGTGCAATACATGAAATCTCATCTTCACTTATCTCCACACCACCTCTTGAAACCTTAAAAATCTCTATGGCTTTGGAACTCAACAGGGCACAACGGGTGATGTACAACATCGACAACCTCTTGTAGTTGTTCCCAATGGAACGCAAACCCTCATCGCACAAATTATGGCACCAGTTTACATGTAGTGTCTTCAGCTGATGACAGTTTGACCCAACGGCCCTCCATCCCAAAACCATGTCCTCGTGACACAAGGACAAATTCCATTCTTGAAGTAATGGACAACCCTTGGCAATTATTGTGATTGTAGCATCACCTATCGTTCTGCAAAAACGAAAGTCGAGTACTCTCAGCCTTGAAGCGAATTCGGTCCCTATTGCAGTCAAACCATCCCCGTGAATGCTCCAACTCAAGTTCAGCACACTAAGACACTCGACCCCTCCCCCACTGAGTAGGGCCCTCACACCTTCGGGTTCAAGCCTACACGAATCCGCCTCCACATATGCTAGTGTACCGGGACATCTTTGAAATCCAATACCAGTAATGCTCTTACAGTTAGATATCCTGATAGCGTGAAGGTGACGACAGTTTTGGGAAACAAGTTCCACCCCTCTGTTTGTTATAAGGTAGCAATACACAAGATTTATATCTTCCAATGAAAAACAAGACTTAGACAACATTTCCAACCCTATATCGGTTATATTTCAATGATAAAGACTGAGAATAGTCAAAGAAGAAGAACAGCCAGAGGTGACAAAGGAGAGTCCATTAGAAGTGATTTTGAAACAACAATCTAAGTTCAGACTTTTCAACCTTGAGCCATATTGATTCAACAGAGTCAAAGCCGAGTCAGGCAGATCGCTACACCCGGACACACATAATGATTGAAGGTTTTGAAAACGATTTAGCAACGTAAACAAATGGGAGGCATTAATATTTGATTGAGATATTTCTGGAGAGGAAGAACATGGCAGATTGAGTGAACAGTGGAACTGTAAGGATCTTTGGGATGAATTTTGAATCTTTAGCCAATGGTGACAGGTTAAACCAAAGGATTCACGGTCAAAGCCACAATCCATGCATCGAAATATAAGCCTTAAGAAATCACCAGGAAGCATTTTTGTTTTTAATCATATAAAGGCCGTAAAGATCAGATCTTTATGGTGATTATCTTGTAGGAACAGTTAGTTGAGGTAGGTGAGTGAAATCCAAAGAGCAAGAGTGGCATAGCAGGCACAATTCTTATGGTTCCCTCGGCCTATCTGGTACAGGTTCATAAACAGAGCCGTCGTCGGCTTGTAGTTCAACTCAGCGCAACGAAGAAGAAATCTGACGATTAGCGAGTAGCTGTTCGGAGTCAACAAGGCCGGAGTAAGCCCCACCATATCTAAGTACTCCGTGATGAAAGGATGAAGGGGAAACCTGATCCCCTTGGCAAAACTCATGGGGTACACCCCAAAATACCCCGGCGGAGGATTAAGAACATGGTCTATCGGCCTGGGAGCCCTAACCCTACCAAATGGCCCCACGTACATCTGGGCGACCAAATATTCACCCGCGTTGCTCTGCGGCCTGATGATGTAGATGTTGGTGAGATCCAGATAGGAGAAGCCTGCTCCCTTCTTCGGCCGCCTAGTCCAGATAAACTTTATCAAATCAGTAAAGTTTAAACAAATAACATTAAAAGCATTAAACCAAGACTAAACTTTAACAAATCAATAACCTGAATTTAAGTTCATTAACTGTCAAACCAGAATTTAAGCATTCCATTTAACAAAGATTGCATAAACATAAATTTAGGATAAATTCTTTGAACTGTTAATATATAAATGGTGTAAAGAATGAACTAACCTTTGTTTCCTTTCAACTTCTGAAATTCTTGGAAGATAGATTTCAAGAAATTTATCAAGTGTCTCTAGGATATGTGGAGCAACGGGTTTAGAGTATGGATTAGGATTAGCTAAATTGATGTCACTGACTTTGAGTGGCAGATTCAAATGAAGTAATACCTCTTCAAAAGTCATTCCATATGCGCAATTGCACAAGATTATGTGAAGGCTCTCTCTCTCCAGCTCATCCCAGCACCGAGGTAGGACATCAGAATAGCGTCGTGAGCTCACCTCTTCCACTTCGCCGGAAATTAAGTCTTCCTCCGTCTTCTCATCGCTATCTTCTATGTCCGGCACTTCTTCAAGGGAGTCGGCTATTATGACATCATCTCCAAAGTATTGTACCAATTCGGAGCACAACTTGTTAGTTGTTTCCATCATACGACCCAAGATTTTGGCGCTAGTAAAAGTGTCGAAAATTTTAGGGAGGGTAGCAATTCACAGGAGCACAGCTTCGATGGTGGGGAGGGTAGTAGGATGGTTGATGGGATTGACTGCTGCAGCACTTTTATTTTTAATAGGGTAGTTAGTGGGTTTTACTTCATTAAGAGGTGGGTAAACCAGTAATAAAAGAGGGTAAAACATTTTCAAAAATGAAATGGGAACCTTTGAATGAGACGTCCAAATAAGGAAAGTGAGAACCTTTAAATGGGACGGAGAGAATAATAAATAACTTTGAGCAATTTTCCTCCTACTTATTGAACGAAATGATAGTATACGACTTGAGACTTAAGTGCCGTTAAGTGTCGTTATTGTAGTAAGCAAGCTTAAGGCTATTCTTGAAAAGACATCTTTGAATAGTCTATTTTTGAAAGAAACTTTCAAAAGTGAAAAAATTGATATAACTTTTAGTTTTTAGTCTATTTGGGAAAAATTCCCTTTAATAAATAATCAAAAAATTGAACCTTTGAATACACTAGGCCCAAGTTTTCAAAAGCCCAGCTTCACTTTGCCTGACAACTCATGGAGTATGTAAGGACTTCACGATTAGTTGGTTGAGTAAACATCCAATATATAGATGCTTTTGAGGAGGAAACTCTCTCATTTCTCTGGTGTGGGACAAAGGATTGTGGAAACAAAATGGAAAAGTGGAAAACTGAAGCATTGAATAAGAATACAACGCCCCCGGGATTCAAACATGGGACATCCGTATCATGAGCTCGCTTGCCAACCATCTTGCTAGTGGACTTTGTTCGATATTCCAAGACTGCATATCATTATATATACCTTTAATATAGGATATTAATTACTCCGTATAAATCTATTATAATTACTATTATTAAAATGTCGGTTCGGTTCAAACCGATTTATTGGAATTATAAACCGATTTCGAACCGCTTTTTTTTCGGGTCCCAATTTTCGGGTCCCAAATTATATAGGTTCGTTTCGGTTAGGTTTTTTCCGAAACGGTTTGGTTTTTTTCGGTTTTCGGTTTTTCTATCAAAAATGCCAGCCCTAAACAAACATGAAGTAAAATGTCCACAAAGTCGAGTAAGGTGAAAGTTTAAAGTAATTGTACATGATAAAATACGTAGAATTTGACATGATACAAAATACAACAAAATAGATTATTATCAATGATCAAAAAATCGTGCAGTAGGTCAAGTGCTTGTTTTACGCTCCTAAGCCAAAAAAATCATTTAAATTACCAACTAAACTGAAAATCAGAATATTAAAGATAAATTGAACAAAAATAAATTGAATTTATTAACAGCAGAAGATTTATTAACAGCAGAATATTAATCAGAATATTAACCATAAAACAAAAATAAATTGAATTTATTAACAGCAGAATATTAATCAGAATATTTAACCATAAAATAAAAATAAATTGAATTTATTAACAGCAGAGGATTAAAGATTACGTTGTTGACCTAGTTTAAGAGTCGGCCAACACGTAGTCCGAGTCCCCAGCGGCGGCAGAGCAGCGGCTAGGAGGTGACGAGGCTGCTGGACGATGTCTGAATTGAGTGTCCCAGCGGCGGCAGAGCTGCGACTAGGATGTGAACTCGTCGGTCGCAGTCGCTCGTCGCAGTAGGTATTCTTCGCCGCAGGTCAGTCGCAGGGAGTCGAGGTCGCAGGTAAGCGCGGGGTAGGTAGGCTGACAGTTGTCTCAGCACAGCTCCGGAGCGGCGGTGTACGGTTGTGGTGGTCGTTGTCGGCCGCTGGTCGTCGTTGTCGAAGAGAAGTCGAAGCTACGCAGGTTCAATTCCTTAATTAGATCAAATTAAGGGGGCGAGCTAGGTTAAAAAATTTAAACCTATTAGATTGCGACAAAACAAGATGGCACTATTATCAAAAAAAGTGAGTTTGTGCGGTTCATATTAAATTGATAAAGTAAGAATAAAGTAAAAATGATTTAGAGTCATAGAATCTTTACCAAATTTGGTATGAGACAATCTTAGTGGGACTTCCCGAAAAGGTAAAATGGGACGATCTTAGCGGGACGGAGGGAGTAATGTTTACCATCTCCGTCCCGTAGCAAAACGGCACGGTTATTTAGGAAATAATTAAATAAAGTACTTTGAATATATTTTGATAAATAATTTTAATAAGCATATATTATAATGTAGTTAGTATGATAAATGTGATGTTATAAATGTATTATTTTTAATATTTATTGATTAATTTGTCACTTAAGATTGTTAATTGTTTCCTAAAATAGAAATGACAACCTTTATATGGAACGTCCAAAGAAGGAAAATGGGAACCTTCTAATGGTACGAATGGAGTATTTTTTATGATTCGAGGCACTTCTTTTACGAGAAGCGTCGCACGCCTTCAGTAATTTTTAATTTTGTTTTGATTCGAGGCACTTCTTTTGACAGAAGCGCCGCACGTGGGACGAAGGTAAAAAATAAAATTAAATTATTTATGAATTAGAGGCGCTTATATGTCAAGAAGCGATACACATGTCTTAATTTTTTTTTTAGAATAAACAAGGCACTTTGTCACGCCCCGGACCCACCCGGACACGTCAACAATCCACCGTACCGTACAAATAGTCAACCGCAGTCTGACTCATCCATACTATACAAGGCGTCTTGAATACCATTCACACATAGTACATCCATAAACAAACATAATGTAAAATAAACATTTATAGCAGCGGAAACATTTAACATAAGTGTTTATGCCACACCTTGGCAAACATGGGCGTACAAGCCCCCAAATAATTATTCACAAAACAATATCCATGAGCATTGTTATAATTGTTTTGAAACAGAAACGGAGGAAGCACGAACCACGTCTCCCCTCCTAGTATCTCCCCGAAGCCACAGACAATGGTAGCAAGCTCAGCTCCTACCTGAAACTGTGAGGTGGCCTCCCCCGTGAAGGGGAGGTCAGTACTTGGAAGCATTTGACAAGTACAATGACAACTATATTAAGTATAATCAATGTTTCAATTTCAAAGACCCTCAATCTAGGGTGATATTATATTATAGGCCATAACCTTCGGTTATCCCCTTTTTTTTCAAAATGTACTTACTTTATATAAAGTCAAGTAATCGGCTCGTGGGCCCATATTCATTTAGAATTCACCATTTCCATCCCCCCGTGGGGTCCCATCGAGCCCCAATTGTATAGCAAGGGCTCGGCCCAACTACATTTCTATACAATCTTCTAACTCGATATAACACATCAAAATTGTATGGCAAGGGCTCGGCCCAATTACGTTTCCATACTAACCATAACTTCGTGGCAAGGGCTCGGCCCAACTACGTTTCCACAAAGATCACAATTTCATGGCAAGGGCTCGGCCCAACTACGTTTCCATGCTAATCACATTACATGGCAAGGGCTCCGCCCAACTACATTTCCATGCCACCCTAGAGTCCAACTCTAATTATTTTCATAATCCAATTCCCAAGCAAATCCTATGCCTAGAATCAATTCCTTTGGGTAGCCTTTAGGCCTACCCCTAACACACCTTAGTGTTCATACAATGCAACCTTAAAGTATCTCTTGAGACTACTTAAGGCATATCTATTCACAATCCTACCTCTTAGGATTTATTTCATCATTTATTTATATTAATCCCCCGACTAGTATTTTGATACTAGTTGGATAATCTTAGGACATGCCAAGTTCCTGTTTTCAAATTGACATTTCATTTCAATTGATTTTCCAACCCAAGTATAGTTTAATCCCAATATCAAAAATATCACTTTAATCCATTCGTGAATTTCATACATGAAGTAAAGTATATTTTATCATAATATCATCATAGTAATTCCACTAACATGCCGATCCATTCATTTCACATAATCATACACAATTATTCTAAATTTGTATATCATGCTTCACTTACTCATATCAATATTATTTTCATTTATGCATCTTTAATCATGAATAATCCATGAAAAATTCCATTTAATTACCTTAGGCAATCTTATAAAATTAACTCAATAATTATAAGCAATATAGTCAGTCATCCTCACCTCGTGATGTGCTACAATAGTTGCCTTTGTTAAGCCCCTCGATCAATCCCCGTTCTAGGCCGATTAAAAGTGGAAAATTGGACTGCTGGGCAAAAGCCGGGCGGCTTTCGTAGTCTGCAACTACGAACAGCTCCTTTGGAGTGGCGGTTTCCGGCGATTTCGACTCCTATCGATTTGCCAACTCTTCTAAGTTAATTACCACCACTTTATATCAATATTCTACACTTTTTAAACGTGTAGAACCCGAAGTTTAATCCACCATATGATTTCTTAAAAATCATATACAAAAAACTAGTTAAAGAATACTGGTTGGATTCTTACCTTGAGTTCTTGCTAATTTCCTTTGGTTTTGCTCCCTTCTTGATTTCTCCTAGCTAGAGCTTTGTGAGGCTATGTCTTAGAGATCTCCCTCCTCTCAATCATCCGTAGGATGCAAAATGATAGAGGAAGTCTCCTCACAACCACTTGCTCCCAATAATAGGAAGGGTAGGATCATGGTGGGTATGAGTTTTTGTCTCTTGGAGACTTCCCACCTACTAGGTACACCCCCAAGCTGCTTCCTTGTCATTTGCAGCACATTGGGTCGTGGGGTGGCCCCCACTTATGTGGGAGGTCATCCCATTATATCCCGGTGTGTATAATTGGCCCCGAAAGTTGTATTTTTCGGACTACTTTAGTCATATTTTATTTCATCGGGCCGGATAAAGTATATCACGCGTTCCCAACAATTTTGGGCCTTTAGAAACGATGTACATTCCCCAACATTAATTTAGGAGCCTCCGAAACTCATTTCGGGCTGTTATCCGCTAAATTACCAATACCGGTAATTGGGCCCCGTTTGACCAACCGGTCAACTCCATGCCTTTCTTATGGCCCAAATAAAATATCCACCTCTATGTAGATGTCATCTAGACCAAGATGAATATAATATGCGGTTCGGAAATTATCGGGCGACCCCCCCCCCCCCCCCCCCCCGGTCCGGGCGTGGGCCCCACATGCAATTTGCTATTCACGTAAAAGAATTGATAGAATTTACATTTACGCAAATTCATAAATCATCCTTCAAGGTTTATTACATAATTTACTAAAAGTAAATATGTTTGGGGACGGTGCTACACACTTTCTGTTCAAAGCGCCTCAAATGAAGCACATCAAATTAACGTTTTTCCACTAGTGTTTGAAAGGTCTGCTTTCTTCAACCAATGGCTGGGAGAATGAGAACACGAGCAGATGCAGCAGCCATGCATTTAGCGGAGACGAAGAACGCCTGAAGAAGCTGCTCCGGCCATGTCGTGTTCCAGTTTAAACGATCGAACAAAAAAAGACAAAAAGAGAGAAGGAAGAACGAGCATCGCTGAAGATTCAGAGAAGGAACGAATGCCTCAAAAAAAAAAGGAAAGTGTCGAAAAATGTATTTAAATTGCATTAAATGGTCAATTTAGGGCAATATTTTGAGTGGGATCCACTTACGATTTGGGTCGGGTCAAAGTGGTTTCGGATTGTCTTTGTTTAAGGACTTCAATTCGATATGTGGTACACTCAAAACGGATAACGGGTGAATGAGAAATTGATTCTCGAAGTCACTCGTTGAAATGAAAAAAAATGGGAAAATGATGGATTTCTAGTGTGGTTTTTCCCACACCGGAAAACCTAAGAGATTTTCACCCCCTTATAAAGGGAACCCCCTTTGAAGGAGGTAAGACCCTTAGGTAGAAAGGCTCTCTTTGCGCGCAAGGAGGGTGCCGATCAAATCTCGAAAAACGGAGAAGAAAAACCGCAACTTGCGGACACGAATGTCGTCCAAAAATCTATCTTTCAAAGATACGATCTAATTTTTGTTTCTTCCCATAACGTTTTATTTTTTTCCAGAACCATAACTGCTTGGACGGACAGACATAAGTGCTCGAGGTATTCTGGTTGCACCAGAAGTGCTCGAGGTATTCTGTTCCGCACCAGAAATGCTCAAGGTATTCTGGTGCACGACCAGAAGTGTTCTAGACCGTTACAACAATAAATGTCCAACGTTCTTATGCCATTATACATCGTTAAATGGACAATTCATGAACGATTCAATGCCCAACGGACTGGTCATTGATGTCCAACGTTCAAGTCAATTAACTCTCCATTAACACACAACAAATCCTCCTATAAATAGTTGACAGACGCATATTTTTGAGCTCTACAACATCTCCAGCTTCCGAAGTTTCCTTAGTGTTCATAATCTGTTTCCGTTCGCTGGAACAATTCGTTTGAGTCCTCAAGGTTTGTTCGTAGTCATCGTATCCTCGGAAACCATCCTTGCAACGTCCTAGCACCTAGGGAGGCAGCGAATATGTTTTAAGGACATTGTGCACATTGCACAAGCTTTGGCTAATTTCTGCTCCATCTCCTTTCATTTTTCTTTAGTCATTTAAATTAATTTTAATTAATTAATTTTCTTCTTTTTTTCGAGGCACACCCAACATCATTTTCAAAGATTGATATTTCCATTGTATATTGTTTTCATACCATACTATTTAGTCCAGAGAAATAGAGAATCAATCTTTGAAAAAAAATTGACTTTGCCATTTTACATTTTGCCAAGATAAATCAGAAACCTATTTTACTAAATAGGTGTGACCCCCATAAATATCAGTGATCCATCCATTGTATATAGCACTCTGAACCTTAAAATGGACAAATTGTACATGTCAAGATAAATCAGAAACCTTGATAGAATGTGAATTCCAAAAAATCCAGATTTTGGTAATAGGAGAAAAAGCAACCTCATCAAAACCGAGAATACTCTTGAATTTAGAAATTTTGCTACAATCAACCAAATGTTCAATAACAATCAAAACCTGAATCCTCCATTGAATGACTAGAGAATGTAGTCTGGAACTGGAGGATTCCAGACCCCTAGTATTCCAAATGAGACAATTCATTGAGAAACAATGTTTGAAACCTGCCCCCTAGCAGCACTCCTAGTATTCCTTTTAGGTAGATCCACATTTTATTTTTTGGCCCCTTTTCTATTAACTGGGATAAACTGATCATCTTCAGAATCTTTAACAATCTCTTCTTCCTGATTGATGGAGACAGGTATTTCCTTCTCCATGAATTGCACTTTGTCTGAGCTGCTCTTCATCAGATCACTACCTTCATCATTTACTTCTACTGGGTTGGTAATCACAGGTGCCACCCCTTCCCTTACAGGTACATAGTCAGAGCATTGGATATCTGATCTCTTTGGTCCTCATCATTGTTTGTTGTCACAATTGCATCCCTCTCCCTTTGTTTTTGCTGGACAATAATATCAATCTGCTTGCATGTTTCAGGCCATTGTTCCATGAAGGAATCTGGGTTGACTTGATGGTCATATTATCCATCTGAGAAACAATCCCTGTTCCCAAAGGTGTTTTCAGCTTCAAAAGACCTGTTCATCCTTGTGATGTGAGTATCATCTTTAGCAAGATTAACTTCTTTAGAGGCATTGATCCCTGGGATCACTACATCTAGTAATTCTTTAATGGCTTTCTTGTCAGCTGACTCTTCTTCCAGAGAGATCAATGGAACCTCTACCACTTCAGAATCAGTCACCTCATGAGCCTCCACTGTTGTAGCTTTTGAAGTAGATTGCTTGAGTGAATCTTCTATAATTTTATTTTTGCCCTTTTCTTCTCTGGTGTAACGTTTAAAGTTCCCCTTCTCTTTAGTTCCTTTCTGAATCCATTTCTCTTTGTTGATATTCTGGCCATTATTGTCAGATTGCTTCTTGGGGCATTTAAAGTGTGAATGACCCGAGTGAAGGCATACTGAACAATACTCAAGTCTATTTTCATAGACAATTGATTGAGAAAATCCAAAAGATCCACTATTTATCTAGATCTTGCTTGGCATCTCCTTAGTGAGGTCAAGTTCGACATATATTCTAGCCACAACAGGTCTGGATAGTGTGGATGTAGCTGCGTCAATCTTGAGTGGTTTCCCAATCAATGAAGCAATTTGAAAAAGAGCGGATTTTCTTGAAAATGAATAGGTAGGCCTTCCATAGAAATCCACACGGGTACAACAGGGGACTCTACATTAGGTCTAAATGCAGGAGTCCACTTCGTAACCCTCATCAAATGACCTTGAATAGTCCAAGACTGCCTATTCCAACAACGCAGAAAATCTTCCTCCAAATCAAAACGTAATAAAACATGTTTAGGGTCCAGAACCCCCAAATGAAAGGTTCCTTTGAAACCTATAATTTCGAAGGCCCTTCGAAATTCCCTTGCATAACCAAATCGACTTTGTTGGTGGCGGATTAGTCCGATGACGACAGCGGGGAACTCAAGTGACGGAGGCGGATGGGCAGATCGGTAGTGCCGACGGTCTAGGTGAAAATTTCGACGATCAGCAGTGGTGGTTCGCATTTAAAAGTCTATGGACTTTTTGAAAGTCAATAAACTTATCCATGAATTTAAAAATCCATAGAATTCATTCATAAAAAAGTCTATGAATTTAAAAATCCATTGACTTTTTTAAAAGTCCACGGATTAAAAAAAATCCACCACAATACATATTCAATAAAAAAAGCCATTGTATTAGGAATTAGTGGCAAAATTTTAAAAGTCCATGGATTTTAAAAGTTTAGGTGTATTCAATGTGGACTTTTAAAAGTCTACAAAAATCTAGGTGTATTCAATGTAAACTTTTAATAGTCTATAAAAGTCTAGGCATATTCAAAGTTCCGTTCATTCTTATGGATTTCTAAAATCATGGATTCTCGTGGACTTTTAACTCATTTTTAGTACATTAATTCTCTTCGATTGTCTCTTCTCCTCACTAAAGATTTCCGTGGACTTTTCTTATATCGGTTCTTCATCCCGTCCCCCCCACCCCACCCCGCCAACTCTCTTCTTCTTTAGCCAAGTCACCCCTTCCCCTTCGATCTTTCTTCTTCTTTAGCCTAGCTCGCTCCACCCCTCTCCTTCCATTCTTTTTCTTCTTCAGCTTGCCCCACCCTCCTCGATTCGTTAATCCCATACTGGTTTAATTCTAGAAGTTTCTAGAAGAACTGGTATAAGAATCGATAATATTACATCAGTGCAATTCTGATACGTCGTCACTTAACCATTAAGAAAATAAATATTTTAACTATTACTTTCTTTCATCGTTAAATCGCTAACACATAAAAATATAATTTCAAATTAATAAATATATAACCGTAAATAAGTACACAAAATTTTACAAGATAGAAATGAAAAGAAAACAATTATTAAGAAGATAAACTCGATTGCAACTGTGCTTGTACCACATGTAGCAATGAGTGTAACAGTTGTGTAACGATTGATATTCTTACTCATTAATAAAAATGACCAAAATTCTTGAGCATTCTTGAAACTTTGAGTTTTTTTAATAAAAATAAATTTGGATTTTTATGCTTCATTTATTCTTGTAGAACTTCGTGTTGCTATATGAATTACATTTGTTTCATTTATTTATTTATTTATTTGTTTGTTTGTTTGTTTCTTATCATACTCTGTATTATACAGAGGAAATTATTTAGGGTAGGACTAAAACATACGGAGTAACATTCTTCTTAAAGTATGATCATATGTTTGATTTTCCTTAAATAGGACTAAATATTACATATTCACCCCTAATTTAATTAATTAATATAAGTAATTGTCCATAATTCCCTTGCATAACCAAATCGACTTTGTTGGTGGCGGATCAGTCCAATGACGACATCGGGGAACTCAAGTGATGGAGGCAGACGGACATATCGGTAGTGGCAGTCTAGGTGAAAATTTCGACGACCAACAGTGGTGGTTCGCATTTAAAAGTCTATGGACTTTTTGAAAGTCAATAAACTTATCCATGGATCTAAAAGTCCATTGAATTCATTCATAAAAAATTCTATGAATTTAAAAGTCCATTGACTTTTTTAAAAGTCCACGGATTAAAAAAAAATCCAAACCCATCCATATTTACACCCGTGAGGGTCTAGCGATCAATTGTTTTATATCCCAGCGGAGGAATAATTATTTGAGTGAGCAATGCCTTCCTTTGTCCCAAATCGTTCCCCATCCCTAGCCAGGTCGCTAGCCAGGTTGTTCAAATCGTTCCCAAATCGTTCCCCATCGCTAGCCAAATCCTTTCTCCCAAATCGTTCCCCAAAGCAACTGGAGTCGCGCTAAATCGCGCTAAATCGCGAATCCCCAGCCCTACCAATCGCGAACAGTCTCATCGTTTCCCCAACCCGCAATTTCAATCTAAACTGAATCATCGATTGATTTCAAATGAAACGCGCAGGTGATAAAAGTTCTCGCTTCGTTTCAGCGCCTGTAGTAATAGGCGTTTGGTTTTGGAACCAGCGTTCCAGCTCTTCGTTTTTGATTTCAAATTAACCTGCAGTAATAGCCTGTAGTAATCGTCGTTTGATTTCAAATCAATATGCATTTCAGCCCCAATTATTCCTACTCATCAATTTTACATTCTAATTAACTGTTATAAATTGCTCTATTGTTCATAGTTTCATACGCTGTCTTCTTCTACTCTACTGTATTCTACTCCCTCCTTACTTGTTTTTGCACTTTTGAGTTTTGTAGTACTGTGTTTCTGTTTTGCTCTCATTTGGACTCTTGGTAAGTGGTAACCAAACCACCTGTTATATATTTGTATCTAATCTATTGCTATATTCATTTGGTTCTGTGGCAGGCAGTGACTCTCCACCTAAACCATGGGAAAAAGCTGCATCCTCTTCTGGTCCTGCACCTTTTAAACCTCCCTCTCCGGGAAGCACAAGTGATGTAGTGGAGACATCAGGAACTGCTAATCCAGGAGAAATAGTCAATTCAGCTAACAGGAATAATACAGCTGCTAACACAAATGCACTTGCACGGCCTGTACCTAACCGGCCTTGGGAGCAGCAGCAACAACAGACATATGGAAGCACCTATGGAGGTATTAACTTTCTCTGTTTTTTCAGCATAGTTTTTCCCACTCAGCAGCACGAAAATTCATTACATAGATCACATTATATAGATTATATAGTTTTATTTCTTCAATATGATAATTGGCAAAGATTACTATCATCTAGTATCTATATGCTCAGTAATATATATTTACCCAATGTGTTAGGTTGTTGGCACACATCATTATTAAATCCCATATCAAATATTCTTGAGTTCATTAAAGTGTTGCCAACACCCCATTAGAGTATCACTTCTTGAAGACAAAGAGCCTGTTTGGGTAACCCCTCACTTGGATTTGGAATTTCACCAAACACTATCTTAGTTTAAATTGGTAAATTAAGAAAAAAGGTATGTCATGAGGTGTGTTGAAATATACACTAGAATAATAATAATAAAGAGAGGAGAAATGAATTTTTCTGTGTATAGATTGAAGAGTTGAAGTCCCCATAAATATATATTACAAGATAGAATATTCCTATAAGATTCTATAGCATAATAATATCCTAGAGTATATTCCTAAATATTCTAAAGCATATTCCTACAATCATTCTAATATATTTCACACTCCCCCTCAAGTTGGAGCATAGATATTTATCATGCACAACTTGTTATATAAATAATCAACTCAAATCCCATTTATTTCTTTCGTGAATAAATTACCAAGTTGTTCTCCAGTCTTCTCATGAAATACCGGATTATTCGCTATATGTATAGCATCTTGATTATCACACCACAATTTAGCAGGCATTGAAGTCTTGAATCCGAATACACTCAATAAATGGCTTATCCATATGATCTCACATGCAGATTGGCCCATAGCTCGATATTCTGATTCAATACTCGAACGAGAATTACATTCTATTTCTTACTCTTCGAGGATACTAGATTACCACCGACAAAGACACAATTGCCAGATGTAGATCTGCAATCATCTTTAGAACCTGCCTAGTCAGCATCTGCAAAACAACATGCTATTCTCATGTGTTCATGGTTTTGATAAACAATACCTCATCCCAGTGCTCCCTTTAAGTAAACTAATATGTGTTCGAAAACAGCCCAAAAATCAATGGCCGGAGATGACATGTAATGACTCACTACACTCGCAGAGTAAGCAATATCTTGACTAGTGACTGCGAGATAAATTAAGCTTTTTGACCGATCTTCTATATCTTTCCGGGTCTTCAATCGGTATGCCTTCTTGATTGAGTTGCACGTTGGGAACCATGAGAGTATTGCTTGGCTTTGATCCCAATTTCCCTATTTCAGCTAACAAATCAAGTACGTATTTTCATTGAGATAGAAATATGCTTTTTTTTTACTCCGTGTTACCTCAATACCCAAGAAGTATTTCAACCCTGGCCACCAGTTTCATCCTTGCGCCTCTCCCTTTGACAACAACCTTGTCCTCAAGGTGAGAGGTAGAAAACAACCCTGACCACCAGCTTCATCCTTGCACCTCTCCCTTCCCAGTACCTTGACCATGGGCTTCATTTCTTGAACCTTCATCTTCACTTCCTCAGCCTCGTATTTCTCTAAGATTTTCATAGCCTTTTCACAGGGCTGACTATTGTGGGAGTTAGCCTAGACAAATGTCTAGGGCCTCCAATTCCAATTATGAAATAAGGCTATACGGCACTAAGCAAGAGGGGGAGCAGGCCTGTTTAATTCGAAAGTATTTTACATTCTGTTTAATAGACTTATGTTAGATCTCACATCTGAAATACTTCTTTTCCTTTTTAGATTTGTTTTAAGTATTTTGGCTTTTAAAGTTCATAGTATATTTTCATTCAAAAAAAGTTCATAGTACATTTCACATTGTGAAATTATGGATTTATTCATTTAGGTTTCAAGATATAATAATAATAATAATTATTATTATTATTATTATTGTTTTAGGCGTTTACTTCTTCTTCACAAATCACACTTGTTTTGTTTGTTCATTTTGAATTTGCGCTTTTTCATCCCAAATGATTTCATTATTTTTACCTAATTATGCTATAAAAAGTGTAAAATTGTGTGTTTAGGACTCATGATTGTTCGGTGATTTTGTATAAGAAGTTAAACTAAGCGGTTAGAAAATTACTTTGTAATATATTTGTTGATTTGTGATAAAGAAAAACAAGATTGATAAGAACTATGACTTTATTGTATAGAAAACTAAATTCATTTTAATAAATTACATTTATATATGATATATGTCATCCGCTCCGCTAAAATTGTCTCATCTTTCCAAATCGGTCAGTTCCACTAAGAATGTCTCATATCAAATTTAGTAAAATTCGTGTGACCCTAAATCATTCTTACTTTATTCTTACTTTATCAATTCAATATCAACCACATAAACCCACTTTTATTGGTATGTGTGTCTCTCCCTCTTATACCATTGTTAGTGGGGCGGAGGGAATAATATAATTGTAGGTTTAAGCTCATTTATATTTTTTTTTCTAATCATTTCTAGGAAGGAATTAGAGAATAAAGTTCGTTAGATTATATCTGATCAACCGTAGCCAAAGATAGACTAGCTAACTGGTTGACTATATTATTGATAAAGAAAAAAATGTTAGATTGTTTTGATTGTTAATATTTTCATACTAATTTTACTCTTCAAAACACAAAAAGAATACACAATTAGAATTCCCATGTATTTTTTATATCTATTTTAGATTGTTTACAACTTTACATTCAATGAAATACTCTCACATACATTATATATGTGGCGCATTTAATTTGTGTGTTTTGGCTTCTATTTGCTTCATTTACTCTTTATATTATATTACTAAGGAAATGCATTGTAATAAATTTTCAAAATTAAATATTTTTTTATTGTCCAGGGCCTCAAAGTTGTTCTAGACAGCCCTCCTTTTCATATATCTCATTGTTGTCATGAGTTTGGACTTTGGAGAGTCTCAATCTTGTATAGTCTTTCATATTCACCAACCATCTGCGCATATCAATTGACCCCACCGTTCAATCCCCTTTCTTTGTCCACCTCACCTACCTTCAGAATGTTTTACAGCCCTTCAAGGCAGCCTCTTGATGTCAAATCCCACATTTTGAAGGAGGTGTACCAAAGGAAAGCTTTGAATGCTCATTTAGCTGACCTTGCAATGGTAGGAGTGCACCATGACCAATAACCAGATCCCTACAGGTTGGAGCATCACCAGCAGCATTTCCCGAAGTTCAGTCAGCCTGCTCGTGAACAGCATCATTGGGTGAATTACAAAGCTGTATAAACTTAGGAACAACACTGTTCAATGACAACCTTTGTATGTTGATATGTTCTGATGAAGTATCAACCAGAACCCACGGAAACACAGGATATTGAGTTAGCTCATTATAAGATTTTCCAGCAAGTGTGTGAAGAATCATCAAGTACTCAGAGTTTGTATTCTCTCTTCCCCTCCAACTTTCCCTAGAGATTTCAGCCACTTCCAACGCAACACGTCGATCAACGAAGGAATAATGCTAGTCTTGTCCCTCTATCCTTCTGGAGACATTGATTCATTTCTGTTTTTAATGATCCAGCTGCCAACATCCCTTGCATCCTTTTGTGTTGCAAAACTCAAAAACACTGGAGCAGTAGAGTCGTTGAAGAATATCTCAATCGCTGTGTATCTAAGCAGAAATCTGGTCCACTGGACAGCCTTTACCTTGGATATGATCCATCTTTTATGCCGTTTGATATTGCTGGGGTTCTTTTGAGGTATATTTCCACACTGCATTTATGCTATCCATAGCTTTTCCCCTTTCAGAATCAAAAGCGGAACTGTCACGCCACTTAAAGTCTTAAACAGGTTCTGTCTCTGGCATCCACCTTCCTGTTCAGCCTTACCTAGATCAAGCCTACCTGAAGAGTCAAAGTTTTTAAATAAATAAATACAAATGATCCTCCTGTACCTTCCACTAAAGATTCACCAGAGAAGTACAAGAATTTCTTCCTGACAGTAAGATGTTCAGCTAACTTCCTCTCTAGTGCAACAAGGACACAGCGGACCGCCAATAGAACCTCGCTATTTTCAGCTTCTGCTGATTCAGAGGAGCAATCATTTCAGGTCTGAACAATGTTTGTCTGTTCACCAGTCTCTTTGACAGCCTCTAAGGACAGTTTATCAGTCGGATTATCAGGAGCAGGGACCCACTGAATATTACATTCAGCATCACTTTCACTTAAATTCAAGAGAACCTTCATCTGTAAATTTTGTTCCATCAATTCCTTCCATTGTAAGAACCTCTTTACGAGTAAGATTCCAGTACATTTGGGAACCATAATGTCATTTATCTTCATATTTGCTGCACTATCGTCATCTGCAACTCCTTGACTGAAATTTCCAGTATGAACTTATCTGTGTTTCTCCATTTTCACTAAGGCCACCGGAAACACCATCCGACAAAGGCCTTGGCTCCCAAGATCCACCATAGGCATCCTCCCCATAGAATAGCGGCAGCTCTTTCCCTATCCCTGCTCGTCTATGTCCTTGGTTCCTGGATATCTCACGTTTGTTGGCTGTCGTCTGCAAAGTGCAAACTCACAGGTTCTCTTCTCGATCGCGTCATACTTTGATAGTTTGATGCAATCCAAGAGAACCAGCTTGTGACGGAACCTGTGAAGTGGGGAAATCTGCTTGCGGCGAGGCTTGTGAACTGGGAGAAGTTGATGATCATGCATGCAAACTGGGGAACTTTGCTCGCAGTAAAGCTGATTGCGACTGTGATGAACCTTGTTTTTCAGATTGCTGATGACGTCTAGGGTTCCTTGATTGGCCTCTAGGTCGCCGGTGACGGTGTTGACGCACAGTGGCACATCTTGTCCAGCATAGTTCTCACCTCCTTCAATTGACATTCAATATTGTCCATACTCTTCCCCGTTCGCGATTCCTAGAATTCCTTCATCACTCTAGCCCGTTGATACTCTGGGAAGATCGATTCAGACTCTCTGCCTCTAGGATTGAGTGCTCTAATACCAATGATAGGGATGTTGGATTCAGACTCTCTGCCCACCATTATTCTTCCCTCCTTCCCCTTTTTATATTAATCATATCCTTAAGAGCCGGCCCAAGCTGAGGAGTTACATGACCGGAACCCTTGCTTGTACACTAACAATATATTTAATATTATTCTATTATTAGTCTTATTGTCCGGGTCCCTATCATTTATTATCAGTGAATGTTTTTTTACAAAAGCCTTTAGTGTAATGGCCTAGCATAGATCTTTTTATGTTCCTTATAGGTATTGTCTCGTTGTCTCACACACAGGTTATGGCTCTGGCTTGAACTACAACTCCGGTTATGGATCAGGAACGTATGGTGGCTCATATGGTGGATATGGGTCAAGCATGTATGGCGGTAGTGGTGGATTGTATGGAAACAACATGTATAGAGGAGGTTATGGTGGGTTATATGGAGGTGGCATGTATAATGGGGGAATGTACAACAGTGGTGTTGGAGGCCCAATGGGTGGTTATGGAGTAGGTGTGCCATATGGAGAGCAAGATCCAAACAATCCATTTGGTGCCCCTTCATCTCCACCAAGCTTCTGGGTTTCCTTGATGCGAGTGGTACGTTCAAACAGTGCAAGATGGAATTATTTTTTCGTTTCTCTTTGTGATTTACAAATGGTTTATGAATTTACCCATTTCTTCTTGACTAGCTATTGCATAAATTTTATGTAAAAAAATAGCACTTCCTACACAGTCAAATTTGACCAGATTTGATTCGGTTTTCGTTCATCTATTGTTTTTGTCCATTTCTTGCTTCTTAGACCATGCTTTATGTCTAGACCATTTAAATATATATTTTTGAAAACATTGCAGATGCAAGGTGTGGTTACTTTCTTTGGGCGGATTGCAATGCTGATTGACCAGAATACCCAGGCATTCCACCTGTTTATGACTGCACTACTTCAGGTATCTGTTTGTGAATTCCAAATTGTACCTTTTTGGGGGTAATTTATTTATTCTTATTTTATTGGACAGATTGCAAATAGTCCGTTTTTTTTTGCTTTTTTGGACCCGGTTTTAGACATAAAATCAGAGGGTTTTTGGGGTGAGGGTAGGGAACACCTCACCAATTTATCAAGTAAAAAAGTACACAAGTAGGAGGGCCAAATTAAAGCCTACTCAAGTATTTCTGATTCATTAAAAATTCAACCATTTTTTATTAGTTTTAATGTGATGAGTTGAGTGAGTAATCAATAATGTATATAATGATACTTCGATGTGGAGTACATTGTTAGCAATCGAAAGAGATATAAACCATTAATAGATGCGGAGGTAATTAAACGGAGTTTTTGACACTAAGTCCTCAATATTGTGTACATCACACTTTTGTTACTAGTTTTTCCACTTGTCGACTAATGTGAGACTCTTGTACATCCTTAAATTTTCCACTTTTAATCATCCTACTATTTGAAGGTGACACTCTTGGTTCTCCACTTCACAATGGAAAAATATAATTACAAGTACCAAGTGTATGTGCCATGATAGTCGAAGGATTAAAGAGAAAATTCAAAGATGAATACCAGGAGTGTCATTGACACGTATAGTGAGAGGACTAAAAGTGACTGCTGTTGAGTTTGTAAATTTTTCAAATGCGATACAATGGATTGAAATACAAACGGCTTCATGAATTGTGGGTGGTTGTTGCAGTTGTTTGATCGATCTGGGGTATTGTATGGGGAGCTTGCAGGGTTTGTGCTGAGATTATTAGGAGTGAAAGCAAAGCCCAAAAAAGCTCAACACGCTGATGCTGAAGTCCCTGGCCCGCAAAATCCTCGTGGGGGTCAAAATTTCATTGAGGGCCCAAAGGCCCTTGGCCCCAGTGGAGCATGGGACAGCGTATGGGGTGGGAACTGAAGCAGTTGACTGATGACTTTGCACGGACCCAACACTTCTCTGTTTACACCTTCACCAAATGGCCACAGACAAACAAGGCGTTGTCTCTTTCTGCACAGAGTGGAACTTCCATACAATAGTTGGTTCCGTTACCAATCATGGATCTGCTTGGTGTTACAAATGCTTGATATTATAATTTACAGATTTATTATTACAGATCAATACGGTGTATTTCTTGTGTCATATTTTACTGTATAATTTATTATATGTGTTACGACCTTTGAGTTTGTTGTTTTCTTTGGCATGATATTGAGATGCTTGTGGACACTTAAGTTGTGATTAAACTTCTTCATGTCTCCTCGAAAATTTACGGGTGAACTATGAAGCTACAAATTAAAATTATGATTAGTGGTATATTATAGGAGTTTTTCTTTAAATATCACATCCCACTGTTGTTGAAGTTGATTACCAAAAAATAACTATTTTTATGTATAGATAAAATGTGACTTATAGGTACGGAGTAATAATTGGAAGGTCATAATGTCAGTTTAATAGTATGTCCCTGATAGTTTTTCCAATGTCATTGTTGTAGTTACCAATGACATTGTCTTTGCATCTTGCATTACTAGCATCTAAATATGTCACCATATATGGTGTTTCGGGAAAATTAAAAAAAAAGAAAAATGTAAAATTAGCCGTCCAAGAATGCCAAAAAATTAATTATGTCTTCCAACAAAAGAACACTCATTTGAACCCATGAACTATATAAAATTGACCGATTCTGTAAAGGAGATTTCTATGACACCTCTTCAAATTTGGAGTGTATCATACATTTGTCTTCCTCAGTCAATAGCATTTCAAGTCAATTCATAAATGACACTATTTCATGTGCCACTATTTCCATGTGTCACTATTTCATTTGCTCACACAATGAGATGCACCATACCTTCCAAATTTTCAAAGGCACCATAGCATGACTCGTCTATAAATTATCAAGTTGATTGCTAGTTAACCGGTCATTTGACATAATGAATGTACACGTGTCAATTTTGCAACTTTTCTTCTTATTTTATATTTTTTCCTTTCTCTCCACGATCATGTTCCTTCTTCTTCAACCCAACCCACGTCCACACCCCTTCCTTCTTCTTCCGCAGCTTGAAACACCCTCCCCCTCCTTCTTCAACCCACCCCAACCTCCCCCTTCTTTTCTTCTTCAACGAGCCCACCCCATCATTCCCTCCTCCCCCTCCCCCCTCCTCCTCCTCCTTCTTCATCTTCATCCGTCTAAATATCTTCAACATCGATAACTATAAATCTCCAGCCATATCTCAAGACTGCTTCACACCACCTTGCTGGACTCCACGACCCTTCTTTGCCTGCCCCGCTGCCGCCTGCGGCAACCACATGATATGTTATTTTCTATGCGGCAACAGGTGATCGATGTTTCTTATTGCGTCTAAGATCAGCGACGGGAAGGATGTGGGCTGGTAGTGGTCGTGGTTTGACTAGATGAAGAAAGATGTTGGAAGCTTTTACTTGAATTGAATGGAAGAAGAAACAGTAAAAAAAGAAAACAAATAGAAAACTAAAAAAGAAGAAGAAAGGAAAATGTGAAGATAGGCCACGTCAATTGCCACATGCAAATGACCGGTTAACCGACATTCCACCCTCTAAAGTATAGAGTTGATTGTTTTTGTATCGTTCGTACTTCATAGGTTTAACTGGGTGTTTCTTTTGTTTGAGGGCTTAATTGACTTTTTCGGTATACTTCAAGGGTATATTTGAAAGTTTTCCTCAAAAATGAAAAACAAAACCGTTGAAATTTTTCGATGGCTTTTCTGGCGGTTTACGGTTTTTGATGGCCAGCGGTGGCCATTGATGATGGAGCCAGCAGGGGGTGGGTTGTTCACAATGAAAAATATGCTGTAGTATGTTTTTGAAAATTCTCATGCTGATTAAAGGAAATTTGCTTATGGTTAGGTTTTAAGAGAAACACATCTCAAGTTTTGGGTTCTATCAAATGCTTTAAGAAGCAACTAAGGTGTTGAGGTCTATCATATGCTGTAAGAACGAATTTAGATGAGATTGTGTGAAACTCCTTATGTTGGGCATAATATTCAGAAGACTAAGAACACTTGCCTTGTTTAGATAAAGTCTGGATATAGTGTGGATCAAGCCTGCCACTATGCAATGAATTATTTTACAAACAAGTGTTTGTTCATAAATCTTGTTTAGACTTTATCCAAACTAAGGATGTTTTTACTTGGACTGTAACTTACTGGTCTGGTATGTTTAAGTCAGGTCTGGTCTGTTTAAGTCTGTTGTGGTCTGCTCTAGTCGGAACTGATTTGGTCTGGTAAGCATCTCGTGTATTTTAAAACTACGGAAATCAAGTCTGATCTGATTTGTTTAAGTCTGAAATCTTAATGGAACGCAAACCCTCATCGCAATACATGAAATCTCATCTTCACTTATCTCCACACCACCTCTTGAAACCTTAAAAATCTCTATGACTTTGGAACTCAACAGGGAAAAACGGGTGATGTACAACATCAACAACCTCTTGCAGCCATTCCCAATGGAACGCAAACCCTCATCGCACAAATTACGGCACCGGTTTACATGTAGTGTCTTCAGCCGATGACAGTTTGACCCAACGGCCCTCCATCCCAAAACCCTGACCTCGTGACACAAGGACATATTCCATTCTTGAAGTAATGGACAACCCTTAGCAATCATTGTGATTGTAGCATCACCTATCGTTCTGCAGAAACGAAAGTTGAGTACTCTCAGCCTTGTCCCTATTGCAGTCAAACCATCCCCGTGAATGCTTCAGCTCAAGTTCAGCACACTCAGATACTTGACCCCTCCCCCACTGAGTAGGGCCCTCACACCTTCGGGTTCAAGCCTACACGAATCTGCCTCCACATATGCTAGTGTACGGGGACATCCTTGAAATCCAATACCAGTAATGCTCTTACAGTTGGATACCCTGATAGCGCGAAGGTGACGACAGTTTTGGGAAACAGGTTCCACCCCTCTGTCTGTTATAAGGTAGCAATACACAAGATTTATATCTTCCAAAGAAACACAAGACTTAGACAACATTTCCAACCCTATATCGGTTATATTACAACGATAAAGACTGAGAATAGTCAAAGCAGAAGAACAAGCAGAGGCGACAAAGGAGAGTCCATTAGAAGTGATTTCGAAACAGCAATCTAAGTTCAGACTTTTCAACCTTGAGCCATATTGATTCAACAGAGTCAAAGCCGAGTTAGGCAGATCGCTACACCCGGACAAACATAATGATTGAAGGTTTGGAAAACGATTTAACAACGTAAACAAAAGGGAGGCATTAATATTTGATTGAGATATTTCTGGAGAGGAAGAACTTAGCAGATTGAGTGAACAGTGAAACTGTAAGGATCTTCGGGATGAATTTTGAATCTTTAGCCAACGGTGGCAGGTTAAACCAAAGGATTCACGGTCGAATCCACAATCCAGGCATCGAAATATAAGCCTTAAGCAATCATCAGGAAGCATTTTCGTTTTTAATCATATAAAGGCCGTAAAGATCAGATCTTTATGGTGATTATCTTGTAGGAACAGTTCGTTGAGGTAGGTGAGTGAAATCCACAAAGAGCAAGAGAATGTCCATACCCGTAACCAATCACATGTCCACAATTTTGGAATTGAAGTCTGGTTTTGGAATGATTATATTGCAAAGAAATAGGAATACAATTTATTTCATCAATCTGAGTGAACCAGCTTAAGTCGAGGTATATGAAGGAGATGAAACTTTTCTTGATCTTTTCACTGTACTCAGGGCCAACTCAGGAAGTTACACAGTTGGAAGATTTCAAATTGAGAGGGTATCCACAAGAGCCACAACCGTCATAATAAATGGTATATATATTATTACTTCACAAGTCATAACAATGCACATGCCCTTCAAACTAAAGGCATCGACAATAAGGAGATGAATTCATATTAAACTCACTCTTACCAAGCATATCTTGAGTACCAACATACTCACAATTCACATATACAATACTGTGCATGTCAAAAGTTAACACAGATCAATAAATAGGGAAGTTTATTTGTTTCCAGTCCCTCATTTGTTCCTGATCGTGCTATGTAATCCACTAATCCCCTGCCACTAACAACTTCTACAAGTTTCTGGAGCATGCCAGATCATCCCAAGAAAAGTTAGGAACATTCTGGAACACCCTGGAAGGATCACGAACGTACTAGAGGAAACAGGATGACTATTTTGGATGGATCAATAAAAGAAAACCGAAAACAAAAGCATAAAATTCAGGCGAATTGAGTACTTTATGAAGTATAAACATTACCGAGTGAGGAAGAAAAAAACTGATGTTTCTGAATTTTGATTCCTGGTCTCATGAGCTTTCACTACTTTTGCTTCACAAAAATTAGTTACACAAATGCAGAATCCACTTTTTTTTAAATCCCGAAGCAAACCACACTAGGTGGGGGAGTGCCGGGGAACACATCCTGAATTTATTAATAAAAAGTTAAACGATATAAGAGATAAAATAAAACATACAAGGAAATTAAAGAAAATTAGTAGTTGAAATTTTGAGTTGGAATTCCAAGAGAAACTGAGATATTTCTGTTGTATCTGTTGTGAAACTTGGTCGCCTTATGAAGATAGGGTTAATAAGTTTTTGCCTCTGGAGGAGAAGATTTATAACGCTTGAGAGCTGCAGCCAATTTGTGTGGTGAGTCAAGCCTCGGGTCCATTGGGTATAGGTAATAATCTGATTCATTTTGAGTTTTTTTTTGACCGTCTTCTGGTGACCATTGGGTGCGAAGTCCATCCCACATGGTAGTATTGTTGTGTGTCTTGTTGGTCTTCGTCTGGGACTTTGATAGCATGGAATAGTTATTTGAGAGACATAGCCAAATCCATAATTCAACAAAAAACAAAACCTATCTTGCACTCTTGGGTGTGAAACGGATACTTGACACTTGACAGGGAGCTAATTCCCAATGGGATGGACCTAGGCCACTCACCATATCAATTCTGGACCGGCCGATTCCACATAAGGGTGGAACTGGGAACTTGACTTGGTAAAGCGGTTCGAGTTCCGGATCAGTTTTGGTCCAGTTGAGGTTTTGGGCCCGTTTTAAAATCTGTAACTGGTTTGCTTCTTTATATTTTTAGACAAATCAGAAGTGACCGATTATAGCCCTATATTGGAGGATCTGCAACTGGTGCCGAGTACCGGTTCGATCTGGAACTGTAATGGGTGCTCGTTCAATTCCTATTCCCTACAGATCCCGGAACCTGAAACCTGTCCATTCAAAATTCCGGTTAAGAAAAATATGGTGATGGATTCCCTGGGTTATCGATGTTCCAGGAATTAGAGGTTGATGTAATGCTTCCCATATCTTGGTTTTTCCCAAT